ATAAGTTAGTTGCAGTTTGATCAGCTATCAGCATGTTAAATTGTGTTTTTAACAACTTTATAGATTCTTTAATCTTTTCATCTGTAGGATTTAGAATCAGAGATTTTTCTTTTAATTTAATCTCATCTTCCAATTCCTTACGTTTCTGAATCTGCTTTTGTCTATGGACATTATTCATTTTTATCAGAATCCCATGCATAAAAGCTTTACCTGCATCCCATACCATTGATATTGATGTTCCCTTATGCATATTTAAAGCAAAATAATCCTTTAAACACTCCTTTAATTTTTGAACATTCCTTTCTTGTCAAAATAAGTTCTCATTCAGCCTCCAGGATCTCCTCTCCTCTTTTTCATGAACTAGTTCCATCCAGACTGGACTATGATCCGTCAATGACCTAGGAAAGATTTTTACATTGTTTACCCTGTTATATAAATCAGTTGTAATCAGGAAAAAGTCAATTTTTGAAAAAGATTGATGTCTATCTGAGAAAAAGGTAAAGTCTGTCTCCTCTTGGTTACGTTCACGCCAGTAATCCCTCAGCTCCCAGTCCTCTTTCAAATCAAAAAAAGCTTTGGGTAATTTAACCTGTTTAAGAAAAATGGAAGAACCTTTTTTGTCCCTTTGTGTATCTAAAACACCATTCCAATCTCCCATTAATATCACAGATCTATAATCCAACGAAATTATTTTCTGATGTAACAGTCTGTAAAATTGTTCCTGTTGATGGTTTGGTGCATACAGTCCCACTATAAGTATTTTCTTACCATATAAACCCAGTTCAATCATAACATATCTTCCTTGAAGATCTGATTCTACCAGACGAACTGGTAGATTTTGCTTAACATAAATAACCACACCCCCTTTTTTCCCAGGAGCAGGAGATACAAAGTGAGATCCCAAATGAGCATTGACTAAATATTTTTGATCTTTAAGTTGAATATGAGTTTCCTGCAAACAAATAATGTCATTATTATGTTGCTTTAAATAGTAAAAGATTTTCTTTCTTTTCTGAGGGGAATTAAGGCCGTTAACATTCCAGGTCAGGAACTTTGCCATCTCCCTTAACCAAAAGCCTGGAGAAGACTGCCTGAAGCTCTGCCATTGAGGAATGTGTTGCAGAACTCTTGGGTCTTGCTCCTCCCACCGGCATTGAGACACTTTCATGAGAAGATTCTTTAACTTCTTTCTTCTGTTGTTCCTTTTCCTTACGTCTATATGCTGCACGAGTCACTCTTTGCTCTTTAACCTCTCTTTGGCGCAGCCATTCCACCTGTGATTTTCCAGCAACCATCAAACCTAATCCTTCAGACTGCTGTTCCACCTCCTTGCCGCCCAGAGCTTTCTGAGTCATAGATGAAGATGAGCCTGCTCCCAGGACCGTATTATAGAACTCTTTGGCTTTAACAACTGTATTAAGTCTGTAACGTGTCCCCACATGGCTCAAAACAATACCCATCGGGATCTCCCATCTAAATGGCATCATTAGCTAGAAAAGCAAAGTCTTTTCTATTTCTTAAAATTTTAGATGGGATTTCCTTTAAAATGATAACATCTTGGGCAGCAATCTGGAATCTCTTGTTATAAAAAGCTTGTATAATTTCATTACGCAGAGATCTCTTTGCAAAGTAGATCACCACATCTCTTGGCAGGTTCTTTTGTTTCGCAATCCAGGAATTAACTCTGTAAATTTTTTCCACTTCTCTACGTAATCCATCTTTATCCCTATTCAGAACAAGAGCTAGATCATTAATCACCATCTCCATCAGATCTTGATTCATGTCTTCTTTAAGACCCCTAAGTCTCAAAGCATATTCCATTTGCCTATACTGAGAGATAAGAATATCCTCTTGTGAGATTTCCATCTTTTTTTCCATATCTTGAAATTTGTCCTCAAGGAGGTCTACTTTTTCTGCAACCTCTTCCACTCTGGAATCCAACTTCACAACCACAGAAGCCAAACCTGATATAGCTGTAACTATGTCTTGCCTCAAAATAATATTATTCTCCATTAAAAGCTCCTTCATTTCCTCTTTAGTTTCAGATTTATTCTGTTCAAAAAGATCCTTCATTTCCTCTTTGCTTTCAGACTTGCTCTGTTCAAGAAGTTGCTTCATTTCCTCCCTGATTTGAGATACAGCATTTCCCATTATATCTTTAATGTCTTGTGCAGATAAGCCTGGCAAGGGAGGAGAAGGTGGAGGTGTAACCTTAGGTTGCAGCACTGGTAGTGTAGCTTTAAGTTGTTGTTGTATGATTGCAATTGCAGGAGAGGAAACCACCTTAGAAACTATAGAAGCTGGTTGTCTCTTTGAAGCCATTTTTAAAAAATCTTATTCTCTCTTTCTTCTTAAAAAAAAAAAGAAAAATACTAAAATCCTTAAAATTAAAAAAGAAAAACAGGGAGAGTGCAAGAAAAGAACTTCAAAACCTCAAAAACACTTTAAAAGAAAAAGAAAACTTAAAAGAAAAAAAGGACTGTGCTGTCCATACGTTTCATTTAAATCCGTTCTTTCTTTCCGAAAAAAAGTACTTTCAAAACACCATCTTACTTTCACTCTCACTCTCCACCACAAAAAAAACAAAAGAAAAAGAATCTACATAAACTAAAAGAGAAATAAAAAGAAATAAAACTCTACACTCTAAGTAAAATCCTTTAAACAGTTCTGTCTGCTTTAAAAGTCACTCACCAGAAAACTTTAAGCGCGGAGATGGTAGCGGCATTTCACTTTGTTTCCGAAGAAACAAAGACAGCTGGGAGGCGGAGAAAGCACGAACTCCGAGGGAACACTCTTTCTACCCCCCAAAAAAAGAAATCCAGGGGGCGTTAAGAGGTTCTACCTCGTGTGGTCTCTATCCCTTCCCTTCGCCCGGGAAGGGAATTTCGAGCCACGGGCCAGCTGGTGTGCGCTGTGCTCCGCAGATCTAACGCCGTCCCAGGAGGACGGCTACAGAGTAGCCGCCATCATCGTCGCTGACCACCGGAAGCTCTCTTTCCTCTATCAATCTTGTCCACTTCTTCAAAAGGATACTTTAAACCTCCTTGGGATGGTGGTGGTTATGTTCTTCCTTGTCCTCTGGGGACATCAGTTCCATGCTGCAAAAATCTGGATAGCTGCTAGATAAGCTGCAAAAGCTTAGCGTTTTCCATTTAGTTTTGCTCCCAACTAGGGAGATTCACAAGGCATCTCAAAGGAAAGCATTACAAAGTAAGGCAGTCCTTGTAGAGTACTAGCAGAAAGTCATTTCAAGTTTTTGGGCAGAGCTCTCAGACTCTGGTTGTCCACTAAGGACAATGTGTGAAAGAGAGATGGAAGAGAAGAACAGGTTTGTGTGGTGAGAGTGTCGCAAGAATAAATAGGAATGGAAGGTGGAAGGATTTAGAAATACCTACAATGGAAGATTGGAGGTGAAGCTGGTGGAATTGACAGGGATGGGGCAGCTTTGATGAAAGGAAAGACTTTGACAAGTTTTATTTCTACTGGGAAACCATTTTTGGACGTTCTGTGAAAAACTGAAAGAAATGAAAACTTGATTTTGGGATCTGTTGCTTAGAATTGCATGAATGTATAGAAATAATATAAACAAATGTTAATTTTAAATAAAGACTTTAATGCATTTGTACATACACACACATGCCCACACATGGAAGCCATTCTTTTTCTCATTTTCCTCTATCTTGCTTGCACTTTCACTTTTTTCTTTCCTGAGCCTTTTCTTTTTTGAAATCTTTTTTCTGTTTATGAAAAGAAAAGAAAACTTTGAGAAGAGGGTCAGAAAGGCTGAATCCTTCCTCCCACAATACAATTTCTCAATTTTAACTGTACTTTTTGCAAAACCTGTTCATCAGATTTGTGCAATAAGTCTTTTACTAAAAAAGCCAATCAAGCAGCTATCAACTAAAGTGAATTTGGTCACAATAAAAGTTAATTTTGGGGAAAACAGATTGAATTGTTGAGCATGAAATATAATTACAACAGAAATATTGAGAAGAACTTTCATGGAGAAGTAACTCCTGATCAGTGAATACTGCAGTTTTAGTGTAACTACTTGTAACAAAGTAAGAATAAAAATTCTGGGCTTGTTTTTGTCCTAGGTAAGTTATGGTTTTTAGGTTTGAATATCACATGAATGCAACTCTTTTAATATCAAGGTTGGTTTTTTTTTTCATTTTTAAGGATTTGAAGCTAGGGAAACTGATGGTTTTGATGAATTGTTTAACTGTGGGTTTAATAAATTAGAATGGTCTACGTTCACATGTTCACAATGACTAGTGTTATAAATACATAAAACACATTAAGCCAGAACCAAATGAACCATATTAGGGCTCGCTTATCACAATGCACAAAGAGATGGTCACAGAGACAGCGTACTTTTAGGATTCTATCTTCGTTAGAAAGAGAGTTCGCTATTTCATTCTTAGTATCCCTTTCAAGTGAAAAGTATAAGACTCTGTTGGATAATGCATTCTACCCAGACTAATTTGGGGGGCTCTCGATTCTCTTCCCTCAGGAGCCGTGTGCCTCTGTGGAAGTATGCTGATGCCACGTGCCAGACTGGGAAAAGAAAAGGGTATGACTAGCTTCTTGGTCTGTGTTTTTGAGGCAATTAGTCTAATGGGGCCATGCGTACGAATGCAGCCTGTCTCATTATCTCTGGCTAGCCTACAGCTCCTTTTGTAGGTTTCTAAATGGTTGCTTGGTTCTGCAGACGGTTGTAGGTTTTGTTAGTTGAGGAGAAATGACAAAGCAAGTAGATGTCTCCCCTTGTCTCTAAGAGACGATACACAAAAAGGTTATTTGGCTCTTTTTTTCTTGACCCTATCTTGAGGGATGGTGGGGAAAATTTTACTTTGGGCGGGAGGCAGACATAAATGGGAACAATGTGGTTGCACATAACCTGACCTTATAAAACGGCATCTTATTCCAGCATTTGATTAGAGCTTTGCCCTGGAAGGTTATATCACAAGCCCTCTTGTGGCCTTGAAGAGACCAAGACTATGATGAACCACAGTATTAAGGTAACGGTTATGCCCCTTTGTAATTGGCCAAAATGTATAAAGAGAGGTTTATGTTGACTTTAAAACAGCAATTGAAGAGAGATGCAAGCTGAAAACCTCTCAGAAAGTGCAGAGGACTAATTTAGAAAAGAATGGAAAATAATTGACCAATCTAATGTTACTATACAATTTGAAATTAAATCTGTATGTTGAAAATAGTTATTTCAACAGGCTTGGGTTTATATGGCAGACTGCAATCCTGCTGATTGTATAGAATCTTATGAAATTCAAATATATGAATCAATTTAAAATTGATGCAGTAGATATATAAACTTGTACTATGCTTAAAAGTAACCGATTTTTCTTTGTTACTCTTGATTTCTACCATGCTGTCATGTCTCGGTTGCATCAGAGCACTAAGAAGGGTATGGAGAAGAAAAGCAATACTATTATCTCTGGTCAGATTATTTTAGAGACCTTAGGTACAAGAAATGTCCCCCTTGAATAAATGCACATTGAGGATGTTGATGTTAACCTTGGATTAAATGGATGAAAAGTTGAGTCAAGTAACCCTCATTAAGCAAAGACCTTGTGGGGGAGGACCCTGGGAAGCAAGATTCCTAGCAGAAAAATTGAAATTGTGCTGCATGAAGAAACAATCAAAGGGGCAACAGTAAATGTGCTTGAATAGAGTAAGAGAGAGATGGAAGATGGAAAAAGAGACCAGTAAGAATTGTCTTTCTTGATCTGGAGAAGGAGAGGGTGCTGAATAATTTAAGTGCCACTGATGCATTCCATACCAGATTTTAAATGAAGCCATCTGGAAAAGAAGCTGCAAGTAAATGACTGCAAACACTTTATGGATTTTTTGCTTAAAACAGAAAAAAAGATGAATTTATGATTTATGGTTTAGATGATTAGCCAGGGTAGATTGTAAAAGAAGAGATTTATGTTATAATCAGAGAAACAGATAAATTTATGACTGTAGGTATAACTGCTGTAAAGATTAGAACCTACGTCTGTGTATTTTTATCTTCCTTTTTCTTCCTATTTTTCTTCTACTTTTTCTTCTTCTACTTTTACCTTTCTCTTCGACTTATTTTCTTCTCTTTTTCTTACTTCATATTCAACTGAATTAGTTTTTAGCTTCCTTTTAAAAATATTTAATTATATATATATATATAAATAAAGCTGCAAGCACTGCAGATATTCACTGGTGGAAAAAGAGTTCTGACTTCTTGGTATCAGAAAGAAAATACTAAATTGGGGCTGAGAAAATGGCAAAAAAGGAGCCCAAATGATTGAAAATGGAGTGGTGAGTTAAAGCACTTTTGATGCAAAGAAGGTTTACAAACTAGGTTTGCTAGTTTCAAAAAATAAATGGTCAAAGTTACAAGTTACAGTTACAGTGCATAGCATCAGTGGATGAAATTATGCACGATATGGAGGAAAATGAATGAGAGTTTTTGTTTTCCTTCTAGCCACTGGCTAGGTCACTTTAAAAAAGGGATCACACAAATTGATGGGAGCTATTGATGGCCACTAGTTTTGCCGTTTATATGTAATCACTGAACGGTATGACTCAAAACACTGGAGAATGCAAACTGGAGGGATTACAGGTTTTTGATCCTGCTCATGAACTTGCTTGAAGCATCTCATTAGCCATTACACAAAATGGTCGTGGTTTACTGAATTTCTCCAATTCCTGAAATTAGTCTCAATAAGGAATGTTTTCCCAGTATCAAGAAGAAAGGGGTTATAGATCCCCATGTCTCTTACTAGTTAATGCCATCTGCATTTTGAAACATCAGTTATTTTGCATATAAAGTGCAAAAAATGGCTTAGTTCCCAGAACACACTTATGGCTATCCTACCCATGATTTTTTTTCAATCATCCCAATTCTCTGGGTTCACACTGCATAAAATAACCCCAGTGGTTGCTTTGCATAATGCACCTGTTGTAACCCTGATCAAAGAACTGGGAAGCAGCAAAGAAAAAATTATGTGAGCTACCTTGAGGCTTGAAAAGAAGTGCATCATTAGTGCAAGCCTCCTCCCTTTTTTTCTCATTTATATTAGAAAAACAAAAAAGTTTTGTTATTAATCCAGATCTTTTTTTCTGCTCCCCCTCCCCAATTCCTCCTATTTAGAAGTATCTCTTTGTTACAATCTGAATGCATATTAATTTAACCAAAGGAAGGATAATTGAAATGTTGGCTGGAATTATGGGAATTACAGTGCAGCATATCTGGAGGGTATTATTATTAAGAAAGCAACCTTATTATAATATTATATTCTCTGGTGTCCTTGGTGCATTCTTAAGTTTCTTTGTCAGAATTAATTTCAGCTTCTCAGGGAAAATGGTATGCTTTAGCATAGAACATCCTTATTATTAACATAGACTTGGTTCACATGCAACATACTGCATCACAAAGTAGCCAGTCATCTTTTTATGTCAGCAAACCTGGTCTGAATGACAAATTCATGGTTTAAGTGCAATATTTCTCAATCTTGGAAACTTCCAAATGTGTGGAGTTTAATTCCCAGATTGTTCAGTTAATCAGTTCTAGGACTGAAGTCCGCAAATCTTAAAGTTTGCTAAGGTTGAGGAAGCACTGGTTTAGTGGGCTGTGTGAATTCACAAAATCAGATTAACAGATCAACTGCTAACAGATTAACAGATTGCAACTTCTATTAAGTCCTTAATAAAAATTGCTACAGTTGCTCTTTGATAGCCTAAATGGATCATTCAACAAAAGAGGGGGGGAAGGACTGAAATTTTTTCTAAGGGTGTTTGTGGAGAAGAGTGATTCAAAGACCGCAAATGTAAACCAGGCGTACTATGAATTTTATATGATTCTGTGGTTTTATTTTAAATTGCTCAGAGATGTGCAAGTGAGATGGGAAGTACTGAAAAAAGATAAATAAATAAACAATTAAAAATAAAATAAATACTTGGGGTGGGGCATGGAGTATAAGATGGCTGTTTGTGTTATTGGATAGAAAACTGAGTGCTGAGAAAATGAATGGGAATATCGGAAAGGAGACCAAGAGGGCTTGGCATTCTCACCCACTGCAAGGCCAGCTTGTATGACCTAATGAATGGGAATATCGGGAAGGAGACCAAGGGGGCTTGGCATTCTCACTCACTGCAAGGCCAGCTTGTATGACCTAATGTTTGTTACAGCAGCATGCCAGGATTCTATGAGCAGTCAATGGGGGAAGTCAGGTTCACTTAATGACTGCACGATTCGCTTAACAACTGCAGTAATTCACTTATCAACTGTGGCAAAATGTCATAAAATGGCGCAAAAAATCACTTAACTGCCTTGCTTAGCAACATAAATTTTAGGCTGAATTGTGGTCATAAATCGAGGACTACCTGTGTATCCACTAAAAAACTATTCTGAACTTTTAATTTACAATTTAATTGCTTTAAAAAGCTTGTTATTTATTTCTAGTCACTCATGCCATTCAAAATAGTATAATGAGAATAATTTGCACATCTTACTAGTTACAGATTTAGTTCTATTTAGAATAAAGCTATTATTTTCAGTTCTGAATGGTAATTGGCATCCCTTTCTGGATCTCCACTTTTTCTCCGCTCTCGCCTCACATTTTCACCCATCACTTTGTATAACCTAGTGGAAAAACATTTTCCTCTAGGTCAGATTCATTGAGAATATTGTATGGTTTCCGTACAATTGTTCCCTGGTGGTTTCATTATCCCCATTCTCTGGGGTACAGCATGGAACTATAAAATCCTATTTTCAAATATATCCACAGCCAAAATAGCACCAATTCATATTTTGTGACATAATTTTAGTCCTTTGATTCATAATTTAAGTCTGCATTTTACCTCCCATACATGTTTTTTATCCATTTTTCCATGATGAACCCACCTTCATTTAGGTCTATTACATCTTTCGTCTTTTTCTTAATTTCACAGTCATAAAGGGGTGACATGATAGCAGTATTCCAGTATTTAAGGGGCTGCCACAAAGAAGAGGGGTCAAATTATTCTCCAAAGCACCAGAGGGCAGGAAAATAAACAATGGTTGGAAACTGACCAAAGAGAAAAGCAACCTGGAACTAAAGAGAAACTTCCTAAAAGTAAACACAATTAACCAGTGGAAGAGCTTGCCTTCAGAAATTGTGGGCACTCCATCACTGAGATTTTTAAGAAGAGACTAGACAGTCACTTGTCTGAAATGGTATAGGTTCTCCTGCTTGAGCAGAGGGCTGGACTAGAAGACCTTCAAGGTCCCCTCCAGCTCTATTCTATTCTGATCTACTTTTATTTCATTCATTTCCTAATTCATATTCTTTTTAATTTATTCCTCATGTTTTAAAACTCAATTTTTCATATAGGAAATCATCAGATGGACCCATAGGCCTTGACCTCTTAATGCTATCCTAGTTTTAATCAATCAAGGTTTTTTGCACAAGAATTAGACAAGGCTAGCAGACTGGTTTACACTTATGCTACTTGCAATATTCTCTGCTGAAAGCAAGAACAGGCACCAATATTTCCTGTTTATTTTGGCCAATATGTCATCAACACAACCAGAACCACATTTTAGCCCAAGGATGCTCATGCTAGAATCCCTAATGTAAAAACTACCTTGCAAATAAATATATATGCAGTGTACAAACACACATTCAGGAGGCATCAAATTCAATTCTCTCCTTCCTCCACTGAGATTACTTTCTTCTCCGTGGCCAGTACCCTAGCCTATCTATTAGGCAGAGTGAGGTAGTCAATCATTTTCAGTATCATGAACAGGAAGCAAATGGCTAGCTATCTTCTTGATTATTAGAGATGTTTATAGGATTTTCTGCCTCAGGGACACCAAGAGCTGCCTTGGATGCTATGCAGAGCTGATCATAATACCCAGGATTGCTCAAGTTACTTTTTAAACTAGAAGTAAAGTCTCAGATCCCTCTCTCTGTCTCTGAATACAACTCTTAATGATGGCAGAATAACATAACCATTTACTCACTTGCTTTTCAATACAAAATCAGCAGTTGGCTTTACACTAACAGTGAAAGCAAGTCTATTTCAGGCAACCATCAATGTCTTGGGTCATTGCTCAGTTGAAACTGATGGCTTTGCTGTGACATCTCTCTGCAGATTTAAAAAAAAAAAGTTACCTTGAAGGAGGTTCGATATCTCTTCCCACCTAGTAAACTAAATTTGCCTTTCTTACCCTCTCAGCTAAATTTCCTTATATCTTTGGTATCTGTGCTGTTCCAGAGATTGATTCCTCATTCATAGACTGTCAGTGTTTTTGATTCACACATCATATCTAGCCATAATGTACCTTTTTGTTTCTAACAGAGTAATGTTTGAACCCACCCACTATTCAACAAAGCATACTTTAAAATAAACCTTGGTGACCCCAATTTATCTTTTTAATTATATTCATGAAAGTCATGCCAGGGGAACCTTGGTGATATAATCTCCACAACAGAATATATTTTTAAGGCAGAAACGAGGAAGTTCCTTGTTTTATTAACCATTTCTCTGGTGGAAATTACATCTTCCATCCACGAGGATCAGGTTTTATAATAATGAAGCATGCTGGGACACGTAGTTCTGGAATATTGCACTTTCTCCAACTTCGACCTACCTTTGAAATGTACTCACTTACATCATGTCTTTACAGGTTCAGAGGGCCACCTCAGTTCTCCTGCTCTTGCTGCTGTGCTCCTTTGCCAGGGCCAAGCAAGCTGTGCCAGACTGTTGCCAGCAAAAAAGCTGTTCATGCCGCATCTTTGATCTGCTCCATGGGATGGGCAACCATGCCGCCGGCATCCTGACCATTGGCAAACGTGGCAGTACCACGACTACTAAGGGTTTCCAGAGCCGCCTTTACCGCCTTTTGCATGGGTCAGAAAACCAGGCTGCTGGGATTCTCACAATGGGCAAGAGAGCAAGTGGGATACCCTTGCGCCTCAACAAGAATGCGCCCAGCATCTCCCAGATGATGCCAACTCCTGTGCTGCAGAGCCTGACCCAGTCATGGGATGCCTGATTCCCCAGAAGACCAGTGCCATAAATCACAATTACTAAAAAATTACAAATAAGGAAACCCTTTTCAAGAGTTTGCACAAGTCCTTCCTGCTTTCTATCATCACTGCTGTTAGTTGCTATTTTACACCAGCCAGGTGCTAGGTGCTGCCCAAAGATAGCAGCGGTGCAGTTCTTTCATTCTGTAAATAGTTCTTTCATTTATCTGTCACCACATTCTCTTCCAAATAAAGCCTCTTGTGTTTAATAACTGAAAAGATCTGTGTGAATTCAACCCAGAAACCCTTGATGGATCAACTAAAGACCCATCTCTACCAGCTTTCTACCTCTCAAACTCTTTTATATAGAAAGCAGGATATGTAAGACTCCCCCACCCCTTCTGCTGCTCAGAGCCACAACACCTCTGAATAGGAAAGCTCAAATTGCCTAGTCTATATTGCCTCCAATTGTCTATAAAACTACCAATGAACCTTCAGCAAGCCAAACATCCAGGCAGAATTTCCTTGACATTTTCCTTGTCAATCATGAATGTTAACCCAGCAGGAGTGCCGATCCCATTTTCTGCCAGATATGGTTCATACCACAGTTTTAAAGCTTTTTTAAAAAGGCAAATTCCACTGCCATAATCTCCGTGCTTCCAAACTGTTTGAGCTCTACTGATCTATCTCTACAATAACTGCTTCTGCCTATCCAACACTGCCTGACCAGATCTGTTGCTTTTGTATGATTTCATGGGGTTGGCAGCAGTTGGCAGCCAGAGGGCAGTGTTGGCAAAGAAAGCTGGCTACTCTTTGTGTGCTAGATTCTTTTGTGTGCTGACAGATGTTTGATTGACCATCTAAGGCAATGGTGGCAAACCTATGGCATGGGTGCCAGAGGTGGCACTCAGAGCCCTCTCTGTGGGCACGGGTGCCATCACCCCAGTCCTAGGCCTTCAGCCTGGTTTTATAAAATCTTTTCCTTTAGGCCTCCGCTGCCATGTGCAAAAAAAAAAAAAAAAAGGTTCAATCAAGCAATTTCAACTTCTCCCGGAAAAAAAAAGATCGTGCGAAGTTGGAATTGATTGATTGAACTTTTTAGTCCCACCCTGTCTGCCATTACCACTGCAGCCACGCCCACCTAATGGGCCACGCCCACCCAATGGGCCACACCCAGCCAATGGGCCACACCCAGCCAGCACTTGATGCATAAGTGAGTTTGGGGTTGCAGTTTGGGCATTCAATCTCTAAAAGGTTTGCCATCACTAGGCTAGGCAGTCTGATCTGGAATCTATAATTCAAACTATGTAAGAAATCTTTGTGGTTAGTACAAAGTTGGCTCAGGAACACTTCTTATTTGGGGCTTCCTTGTCCCACAGAATCCTAGCCCAAATGAAGCTAACCAATGTATATCTAAATAGAAGGTTCTTTCCTTTTTCATCTTCTTTACTTTTTACAAATTGAGCAGTAACTTGCTTACAGCCAGCATTAAATATAATTCAGTCCAATAGCATCCTCTGTACAGAAGCAGGCATCATAATTCGCAGATTCATTAGGGCAGTGATGGTGAAACTTTTAGAGACCAAGTGCCTAAACTGCAACCCAAAACCCACTTATGCATCATCAGGTGCCGGGTGGGTGTGGCCCATTGGCTGGGCATGGCTGCAGTGGTAACGGCAGACTGGGTGGGACTAAAAAGTTCAATCAATCAATTCCAACTTTGCAAGATTTTTTTTCCCATGAGAAGTTGAAATTGACTAATTGATTGAACCTTTTTTTTTTTTTGCACATGGCAGCAGAAGCCTAAAGCGAAAAGGTTTTATAAAACCCAGCTGAAGACCTAGAACTGGGGCGATGGTGCGCATGCCCACACAGGGGGCTCTGAGTGCTGCCTCTGGCACCCGTGCCATAGGTTTGCCACCACTGCATTAGGGCAAGCACTCAATTATATTACTGCTGAATTGAGCTATCTGTACTCTGAGATATGCATGGGGTTCCCAATCAATTTAATAGAGTCTTTGAGCTAATTTAATGAAGGGAGGGTGGGACATCCAGAGGGCTAGAGAGGGCTGCAAATATTTGAAAAAGATACCTTTGAAATAGGAAATCCTCTGGATGGTCAGTTTTGAGTTTTCCTAAAGGAGGATCAGGTTTGGGTTAAATAGGGATGCAATGAATGTGTTTGTTAGTCTGGTTTTAGCATTCTGTGAGGCCCTTTAGTAAAAACTAATCATAAAGTCAGAATTTTCATACAACAAATAAAACCAAAAGATTGTGACATGTGTATATAACATATAACATACTGAGTTCCAGATTCCAATTTCAGAAAAAGAAAAAAGAGACAGAAAAAGACACTTCTTAGTGGTGGCACAATTTCAGTTGTAAAAATTCAGCATCAGAACTTACTGTCCTTCTGTTTTCTTAAATTGCAAATAGAAATGGAACCTAATTTACAATCTTTGATTGGTGATGGGTGAGCATATGATTGTGATCACAGAACAAATAGGTCACTTACAAACCTAAAAAGTATATTCTCACAACACATGAAACTTAACTTTTTTCCTATTGTGTGAATTCAGCACCTTGGATTAGTTTATTGTGAAAACTCAGAAAATGGATTAATTCAGTAACCAGGTTAAGTCTGCTCTAGTCAGTGGGTCTATTGGTTCACATGTTGCCTCTTATTTGTACTTTATCTTAACATTTTCTGTAGATTTCCAAGAAAGAAGAAATCCCATCAATTAATCACCCGATGCCCGCTCTTTTTGGTTGCAAATCAAGGTCATTCTGCCCAAAGAGTTTCCGCGTTGTTTGTACGCGGTGCACTGAACTAAGCGCTTGAAATGCCGCTCGTGGGAACCCGCGCGAGCTACAGCAGGCGCTGAGATCTGGGCGGGATCCCTCTGGATCCCTCCCCAGTCCCGCCGTCCGCGCCAGTCCGCTAATTGCACGGCTGGGATTAGCAGGGAGGGAAATGACAGCCGGGAGGGAGGGAGGCGGTGAGCTCCCAGGCAGCTGTTTCGCCTCGCAGTTCCCCTCGCGCCAACCCCAGTCAGGACATAGCGAGTCCACACACACACCCCGCCGCCCCATCTTGCGCCCTTTCAGTCCGGCTGCGCTTGGGATCTCGCCGCTGGCCAGCGGACCCCGCAGGGGCAGGAAGGCGCCGATGGTGGTGCCACCGCCGCGATGCCGGTGATGAAAGGCTTGCTAGCCCCACAGAATACCTTCCTGGACAACATCGCCAACAGGTTCGACGGGACACGTAAGTGGCCCCTAGAATTCTCTTTCACTGGGAAGAGACTTCGTCGGCCGGGGTTTTGTGTTTGGAAGGCGGGCAGAAGAACTCCGCGGCACCGCCCTGGTCCCTCGCGGAGTTCACTGGAGGGATCGGGGCAAACTCTTGGATTTGGATTCCCCTGCTTTCCTCCGCACCCAGAGAGTCTTCTCTCCCCTCTCTCGCCGGCGCGCCATCCCTATTCCCGGTTGGAAACTTAAAACTCCACTTGAGAAGGAGACAGGCAGGTGGGGATGCGAGGCCATCTCAAGATTACCCCCCCCCCTTCGTTTCTTGGAGCGCGGAGGGGAAAGAGATTTTTGGGATGGGGAGGGAGGTACGAGATATGTGCCCAACCCCAGGAACAATGTCAGGCTCTCCGCGCCGTTTCTTCCTGCGTCCTCCCGTCCCGCTTTGTGCGGCGCCTCTTCTTCCCCCGTCATCCCCGCTCCCGAGTTAACAAAGAACCGATAAACCCTCTTTGTCTTTATCCGAGAGGCAACCTGAGACTCATTCTCCCTCCCCCATCAGGGAAAAGGTCGATATTTTCGGGGGCGGACACCCCTCAGCAGTAGTAGGAAAAATTCCTCCCTGAGCCCAGTTTTGGCTGTTCAGATGAATTGATGAACTCTTTCCTTTGGCTATTCAGATTGGCATTTTTAGGGGTCATGCTTTAAACATTAGGAGTCATTTACCTGCTCTCTCCTTTAAACTATGCTTGTTTAGATGTGTGAAAGGAGACCCAAGTAATGGTAGGCAAGCCTAGTTTGGGGAGGGGAGAGGGAACATTTTAATCTTCTCCCCCCTCCCATGAGGTGGGAATCTGTCTTTCAACAAAGCAGTTGAACCACTAGCTAGCCTCCAAAATTTCACTCTAAAAAGGGAGCCAGCCTTATTTAGTTGGGATCGAGTGAGGGATTCTGCCCCAACATTTTGATATGAGGCCAATCCTATTCTTTTCAAAGCCAGGAAATGTGGATCTGTGTAGGAGAATGCCTCTGAGTATGTGCAAAGTAATTTTTCTTTCCTGATATATGATGATATGAAAAATGATCTCTCCTCCTGAATTAAAAATATTTTGCCTCTCTTTTCCCCTCCCCCTCTGTCATTGCAATATGTTAAGTTGTAAGTTTCTGGGGGAGGGGATGGGACCCATTCACCTCTTTTTGGTACATAGGTTGTGAAACAATAGCCCAAAGCTGCAGAGGGAGGGGCAATCTGTCAATAAGGGACCATGAGTTGTACACATCATTTAGTTTAAGAACTTTTCAAGTTGTTGTTCTTGTTGATCTTCCTTGACTTTGTTCTTGAACTTCCTTCCTTCCTTCTCATTGAGAACAGTGGTTCTCAACCTTTTTAATGCCGCGACCCTCAACCGGTCGTAAGTCGAGGACTACTCAACTGGTGCAGCACTGTTTGCAGAATGGGACTTTTGGCGGGCTCAGCAGGGCAGAGACAGCCTGGACAATTCCTATTGGCTTTTGAAAGCCAATAGAATTAGACTCTATTCAAGAGAGTCTATTCTATTGGCTTTCAAAAGCCAATAGAATAAAAGGGAGTAGCAGAGCTAAGGAAAAGGGGGAAAAAATGGCAGACTGCGTTGTTTGGTGACCCCCGTGAAATGGTCGTTCAACTCCAAATGGGGTCCCGACCCACAGGTTGAGAATGACTGTTTTAGAAGCTCAGATTCTGGGTTTCTAGGTGTGTTAAGAGTATTAAAATTTGTAGATAAGCTGACTGCTGTCCCTTTTCACACTATAGTATTGCTGCACAATTCCTGCTAAAATGGCATAATCAGGATACAGAAAGATACTATTACATTTCAGTTTAATAGTCTTATGGGATGTTATGTGTCAAATAGTGATGGACATTTTTTCACTTATTTACACTACTAAGGTAAAGTAGTTTTGCTCATAGAGGAAGATTTCTTGCTTCTTTTGCTCATTTGTTGGAGCAAATGAGGCTGACCATCAGCCTTTGCCTTGTGACATAGGTTACATTGTGGGAGGGTGCCAAGCCCACAATAAGCCACCAAATATTTTGGCTGCAATACTGTAATGCCATTGAAACAGAATGTGGGAAACCCCATTCAGTGGATGCATCAGGAGATCCTCCAAACAGTATAATTTCAGAAGGGTCACTGGATTTAACTAACAAGGAAGTAGTTGGGCTGGACTTACCAGTTTATGGATGGAACAGTGAAAGATTGGACTTTGCTTTTTAAAAAAAGTTTATTGATAGAAAGATCCTCCCCCTTCCCTCCCTCCCTTCTTCCTTCCTTCCTTCCTTCCTTCCTTCCTTCCTTCCTTCCTTCCTTCCTTCCTTCCTTCCTTCCTTCCTTCCTTCCTTCTTTCTCATTGATGGATGCATTTTTATTTTTTATTTATTTATATCCCACCTTTATCATTTTTACAAATAACTCAAGGTGATAAACATATCCAACACCTTCCTCCTCCTGGTTTCCCCATAACAACAGCCCTGTAAGGTTGACTGGGCTGAGAGAGAGAGAGAGAGAGAGAGAGAGAGAGAGAGAGAGAGAGAGAGAGAGAGAGAGAGAGACTGGCCCAAAGTCACCTTGCTGGCTTTCATGCTAATGCAGGATTTGAACTCATGGTTTCCTGCTATCTAGCCTGGTGCCTTAACCATTAGATCAAACTAGCATTCTATCAAGTACTGCTATCTTGATATCAATATTAAGGATTGACAGAAGTGAACAGGTGGGGAAACAAGTCTGTCAATGGAAATCACATGTTCTTGAAAATGCCCCCTCCTCGAGAAAAATGATTAGTACCTGTTTTCCTGTCCTCAGTGGAACAGGTAAATACGCATAGAATCCATAGATCAGGGATCACCATCCATACAGAACATCAGTCCATGAAAATGTGAACCCCCTTTCTTTTGATTTCTAAGCAGATGGTTCTAGGTTTCAGGAAAAATTAACTAATGGAACTTCCCAGAAATGTTGTGTCCTGGTTAAAAGGCTGATTATGCATTTCAAAACCTCGGATCTCATTAACAAATACTTGGTACTTGAATTAAAGGTAGGAAATGGAATATGATAAATGTTATATAGGATCTTTGTCATGAAACTGCTTTCTCTTCCACCACAGTATAATACACCCAGTGTATTTTATTTATATATGATTACATCCTCAGTCTTTCAGTCCATGATCCAGGACATTATTATTTCTTCTTAGAAAAATACTTTTAATGATGATAAGTGTACTAAATTTCTTTTTTCTTAGTCTGAATGGAAATAAGAACTATAAAACTCAGTGGAACTCTTAAGTGTATATATGCTTGCTTGATTAAATTATACAATGCTGACAACTTCTGTTACAATTTCAGGGACCTAAGTTTAAATGCCAGTGAACTCTTTGGACCACCCATGTCTTCTATATCCATGTCTAGGGATTATCTCTCTGAAAATGAAAACTAAACTTTTAAATTATTGTGCACAGTATGGGGGTTGTAGTTCGTACTACAATCATTAAAATGGATCATTAGAATTGGTCCATTAGAATCGATTTAGAGTTTCAATCTCTTAATAATAAACTTAATAATCTCTTAAAGGCTGCTGGAATTGGGTATGTCTAGTTTAATGAATAGAAGGACGAGGGGGGACATGATTGCAGTGTTACAATATCTCAGGGGCTGCCACAAAGAAAAGGAAGTCAAGCTATTCTCCAAAGTGCCTGAAGGCAGGACAAGAAGCAACGGATGGAAACTAATCAAGGAGAGAAGCAACCTAGAACTAAGGAGAAACTAGATGACCTCCAAGGTCCCTTCCAACTTTATTATTATTACTATGTTGGTCCTTATTTTAGGCCAACATATTTGGGTCACAAATCTGGATCCTTGCATGCCATCTAGTAGTGATCCATATTTCTGCAGCCCAGATATGGTAGACCTATGTCTTTAGCAACTATGAGTATGTGGGCTTTATATAACAGTACTTCTGGAATCAACAGTGGAAAGCATGCTCTGGTTGAATAGTTTTTCCATTTTTTTTCTCATTCTGTTTTCGTCTTTCTAGCTTTTATTTTCCAGGCAGTCCAGTAACTGTACTTTTCCTCTTTTTTTCCCTATTTACAAGGAAATGCGCAGTTAGATCAATACTTATGAAGGTTTATTTAACTGAAACAATTTACCAAAACTCCATCCTTAAAAATGGTTTGGAGAAGCAACCTAGAACTAAGGAGAAACTTCCTGACAGTTAGAACAATTAACCAGTGGAACAACCTGCCTCCAGAAGCAGTGAATACTCCAACACTGGAAGTTTTTAAGAAGAGACTGGATGGCCATTTGTCTGAAATGGTATAGGGTTTCCTGCCTGAGCAGGGGGTTGGACTAGATGACCTCCAAGATCCCTTTCAACTTTATTATTATTATAATTATACCTCCACTGCTAGGTAAATGCTGATATGTGGAATAAGAAGTAGCATATCCAGTACATACAGAGTCTTTGAAGGAAAAAAAGTGATGTATAAATCAATATCACTTTGCCTCTATGCAAAGTTAATTTTTATTCACATTAATTAGCATTAACACAGTCATTTTTCTCTGTATTTCTAGTTAATATGAGGAATTATTAGGCAACCCCTGACAGCAAAGTCTGGTTTATATTAAAATTAAATTAATTTTTTTTAAAAAACCCAAGGTATGAAAATGTAAGGATTAAAACTATGTCACATGAAAGTTATTCTAGATGGGTTTGTGTGGGATCTAGTAAATAAATTTAATTTTACATGCGCTATAAATGGTTTTCTGTTCTTATTTTATATCCATAAATTCTTAGTTTGGGACATTGGTTTAAATTAAGCATAGGTTAGTCTCTTTTCTTTCCCTTTCTTTCAACACACTTTGGCTAGATAGAAAGATGTGAATAGAAAGGAAAGGTGTAGTAATCATGCATGATTTGAAAGAAACAACTAAAATGCCATATTGTGGTTAGAGGATTTTGACTTAAGAGGATTCTGATGGTGTGG